TTATATTTTTTCTCAATGCCGTGACGCAGTAGAAAAAAAGGCAGTTGCAATTATTATTTTTTTTCCTCACATGATATTAGAAAAACTGTTTAGAATGCATTTTTTTTTTATTGGCTTTGATAATCAATTTGTGCGCATCCAAATGCCATGCCCGTTTTTATTTTAAGGTAAAATATAAAAGATGGTTTCCATCCAGTAAATGGATACCAAACATGTCAAGCCTTAAATTGTGTGTGCCAATGTAACAGTAACCCACTTTAGTACTCCATATTTTCTATAAGCAACGCTTGGAAACCCTTTACAGGGTAGAGTTTACTGTGACAAATGGCTCTAGAACTATTGCTTCATTCTAATTGTGGTGATATGTAACGTGTGGTGCAGTCGTTGGTTTTACACATTTAGGTCTGGGGGCTTTAAAAAAAATATATTTTTTTTAAATTTAACTTTTGTATCACACCAGATGTGAATAGCCCCCTATCTGATGGCATGCTACAGGTGACAGCTTTGGACCTGGAGGTGACAAATTCATTGTCCCTTCTGGATTAGTTTACAGGAGATTACTTTTTGCTGGTCTCCCCCCCCCTCCTTGATACCGATACCAGTCATTGCTGTCCCAAGCTTACAGGGGCAGTGGGGCGGGCTGTAACATCTGAAGCCCATGGAAGTGAATCACTTCTAACAATGCTTACAATTGGATTGTATGGTCTGAAGAAGCCAGGAGTGTTTCCAAGCCTGTGCTGTTGGCTGCAGTGGTCAAAAGATATCTGAGAAACTACTTTACTACTCTTGGGGACCTTCTGAAAATTCTGCTTGCCCATCTGTCTTTGGTTTTAATACTTTGATGTGGGACATTCATCCAGCTGAATATGTAATTTCCCATTTGCATACTTGGTTCGGTGATGCAACAAATTGTGACGCTTTAGAATTGGTACGGAAGCCAGGAAATTGGTAATTTGGAAAGTGATCAATGTTCCTTTAGTACAGGTTTCCTTTGAACAAGCTTTTCCTATCAACATATCAACATATCAACATAAGACAGCCATGGACCCCCAAATACCTTCACAGTGCTACCAATTTCCCTTTTGTGTATTAGTAATTTTATAAAGAGGCAGGGATTGATTACGTGTACGCCTCCAGCAACTCTGAAGGAGCCTCAGGGCTTTGCTATACCAGAAGAATGGATTTCTGGCATAAAACAGGAGCATATGGATAAGGGTCTGAGCTCCAGAATCTAGTGCCAGCTCTCCGAACAGTCCTAAAAGACAAAAGGAGGAATTGCGTATATCCAAAAACATCAGAGCAGAAGTTGCATATGAGTGGGCAAGACCCCAAGGAATGAAAGCACTGCGGAGAACCAGCATACACAAAAGCAATGGGATATAGAAGACCTGGTAGAAAAACTTAATTTGCAACATTCTATCCCTGGACACCATTCCAATCATCTGGGTCCGAAAAGAGTCTGCTGCTTTTGTTTAACCGCCCCCCCTCCCCCCCCCCCCCCCCGTAAAGATCTAGTGGCCATTAATTCTGCATGATATGTGGAAACCAGTTTAGAGGAAATTTCCTTGTGTAACATTTTCTCCAAAGGAGTCTGAGGAAGATACAAAGTGATTGACCCAAACTGGGCACGGACCGCATGCAGTAGTTGGAAATAGGCACAAGGAGAAAGCTTCAGCTCCTCCCTGAGTTGCAGAAAGGCGAGCACAACTCTAATCCTAAAAATCTAAATAAATGATGTAGGGATTTGACTTCCCTGAGGACCAGAAGGCAGCTGATTGCAAATCTAGTAGTTGTAGAAAAAGAAGGGCTACCCCAAAAAGGGGAGTACAGAGAGCGGGACCAGACATCCATAGATGGCCATTTGATGATACATAGCGGCACAGAAGTAAGAGCCGTACCTGATTTGAGAACTGGAAATCCCCCATTACTGGACATTCTGCAAAGAGGCAAGTATTGCAGTCTCAGTTGCCGTGCAGGCATTTCCCACATTAGGGAGCAGCCAATCACGTATCGCCACCAACAGGGCTGCCAGATAGTACAAGTGAAAATTAGGAAAGGCTAAACCCACCAGGGAATGAGGATACTGCAACACCTCCAGAGCCCCTCTAGGACTA